TCTTGAAGTGCGTGCATGCACACCAAGCCAGCATGCATGTGTACCCCTCAAGTTGTTTTTTTACACCAAGCCACAGGATTTCAGCCATTTGTTTTTAATTGTATTTAATTACATTGTCTTTAATTATTGTTTCATTCGGTCCCCTGTGGGAGAAAAGCTAGCAATAAAATAAAATAAAATAAAATAAAACAGTGCAGCAATGGAACATATGCTTTGAATGCAGATGGTCCAAGGTCTCATGTTTTGTCCCTATACAGGTGTGGCTGAAAAAAAACACCTCTCTATCTGAAACCATCTGTGTTAAGAAAGCAGCCAATCAGAACTCTTTTCCCCAGACCATCTTGATTTATATATGCTTGTGCGTGTGTTTGGGTATATAAAACATCCTGAAATTCTGTTTGGCTTCTAAAGCTGAAGGGAAAGTATATTGCCAGCATTTACACAAGGCTCTGCCCCCTGAGCTACTGAAGATAACTATAACCAGACACACAGTCTGGCCCTTGACTTCGTGCCTGTACCCCACTCTGAACTCTGTCCACCCTCCATTAAGGTCACAGCATTAATAAAAATAGAAAGCACAAAGCAGTGTGGGGCATGCTAGCAATTTGAGGTTCTGCTGTTTTTAATTTCATGATCCCATTTATTGAGGAAGAGGGAACACTTCAAGCTCCGTCCACAGCTAAATGAGACTTTGGAAAAGTTATCTTTTCTCAATTAAAACTCCTATCCTGCAGGACTAGTAGGCCTGCTGGTTTGAGTATTCTAGGAGACAGAGTCTAGAAAAATAACTTTTTCAAATATTTCATTTCCATGTATATAAACTAAGGGAATTTCCTTCCTTCCTTCCTTCCTTCCTTCATTTTTATATCACCCCTTTAGTGAACATACTACTCTGGCCAGTTTACAAATAAAAGTCAGAACCCCTCATGCCCCATATAACAATACTATCATTGTGAGGTGTTCACTGATCTAGATCTAAAATTAATACAAGAAAATGGAAGAAAAAAATAATATTATCAGCATTCGGGAATAAGTTATTAAAGGCAGGTTTATATAATTCTGACTTCACTAATTTCCTGAATTCAGGAGGGAAGGAGCCTGGCTTTTAATTGCTTTTTGTGCAGATTTAAATGGGGTAGGGGTAAGCAACATTGAATGCATTTGCTGTGAGGGGTAGGGGAACTCTACCCATGCTGGCATAAACAAGAAGGGGGGAAAGACTGAAGGAAAAATACCAGCAGTATCTTGGGCTTGTATGTTCATTTGAAAAGATAAAGAGCACTGGAAAAGAACAGAGGCTCCAGAGGTACTCAGCACAGTCATGTGAGGTTCCCCTCCTCTCCTTCTCTGAACTTTTGAAAAGTAAACATGTTCCACTGATAAAAGGAGAAGGGTGTAATTCTGAGCCCTCTTAGCTCTGGTTACTGGCAATCTGACTTTGATGATCAAGAAGAACATGCAGCAAGTGCCCCAAGCCCAGATTTATTTAAATGGCAGGTACAGGATACGTGAAGGACAGAAGCACACCTTTGAAAAATGTGCAGCATCCCTCCTTCCCTTTAACAAAAAGTCTCAGCTGGATAGGTCTGGATTGAGATGCACCTGGCCCCAGAGTGAAGGCAGGATTAGATCTAAAGTGTTAAGATTTTCTCAAATGCACAAAGGGAATGGCCAGGACAAGATGCACTTGCTGCCAGTGGCAAACCTTCTTTGTATTCAGTTTCATTAATCTTTGACCTCAGAGCAATTCTTGTATTACCTGAGTTGACTGATCTGTGTATTTAGCGGCTTGCATAAGTGGTCAGCTCACCAGCGGAGGAGGGGAACAGTCACAAAAAAATTGTGGCTCAGCTTCCAAAGGCAAGGATTTTTGGTTCCAAAGCATGCCTGCTCACAGAATTTGGTCTCACAGACGTTTCCACTAAGCCTTCTCTCACCATTGTGAGTAGCCATTATACCTTCCGAAAGACTATATCACTTGACTCAGATGATCAGATCAACAGTGGGCAACTGTAACCCAACACACTTTTCTGGGATGGAGTAAACCATAATCTCTCACTTCCAGCTATGCTGGCTAGGGCTAATGAAACCTGTAGCTTCCCCAGTAGTGCGAAAATGCAGTTCTTGAATTCTTTCAATTCTTGTGCACCAGCTTCTGGGGGCCTCCAGTTGCAAATGAAGTCATTTGCTCAAAGTTAATTGCAAAGATCCAGAAGATTAAAAGAAGTGGTGATCTACCAACTGTACAGATTCCTAATCAATGAATATGAAGGTGGTCTAAAACTTCTGGTAGCTTAATAATGTCTATGATATTATTAAGCTACCAGAACTTGTACACCTATATGCGGCAATTCATCTTCTGTCCTATACCATACATCAAGCAGGTGACACTCCCTTACCCACTGTTTTGAAGAAATCAGAAAGGCCAGTTACAAAGCAAATCAACCAATCTCTCTTTTTACAAAACCTGGGAAATGGCCATTGTCCTCTCCCCTGTGACACATGCATAGTGATATTTTTCTGAGCTGTAAGAGAAATTTAACTGAGTCTAGCCACTGCTTGTCATACAGATGCATTCCTAAATATCCTGTGTGTGCCTTTATAGAAAAAGTACAGTGGGTCACTGCTATCTGGCAAAAATGGGAATTAGAAGGAAAATAAGAAAGTATTGGGAAAATGCAGGTTCCACACTGTGCACAGAAACATTCTGGATCTACTGAGTGATCCAAATGTTCTACATAGGCATCCTAAAATGTATCCATCTGTGTCTGGATATACTAAATACATCCAACATCAGGGGAATCTCATTTTATTCTGTACCAATGATTCCCAACCTTGGATCCCCAGATGTTCTTGGACTAACATCTGGGGACCTCAGGTAGGGCACCACTGATCTATAACATACTCAATCCTTCCTAGAGGTATGGACAGACCATCAGCACTGCATAGTGATGTAAACCTGCCCTGTTTGTACCTTACAACCCCCTGTCCTCTTGACATTTTCACTCATTGCATCTATGCTTAGCTTTGGCTCACCGGATAGCCTCTGTTTACTATTGTAAATATCAAGTACATTCTTAGAACAAATAAGCATAGGAAGTCACCTACAGGCCTCAAATGGACATGGTCAGAATACAAGTGCACAGATTTCAGAATGTAAGAAATCATTTTAACTTTTTTTTTTCAAAAAATCTGAACATTTTGGTGTTGCTTCCATGCACTGACTCCCAACAATAGGTCTTATGATGACAGGAAAACAAACATTAGAAATGGCAAAGGAAACCATCAGGACAAAAACAGATCTTACTATTAAGAACTCAAATATTTTTGCAGGGATAGGAGTCATATGATTCCCCAACCCAGAGAAGTGTCATAGATTTTGAAAGTCAAAACCTAAATTTATTGGACAAGTCAAGTATTAAATGAAGAGTTTTTCTTTCAGAGATAATCTGTATAGACCATAGGAATCAACCAAATACTCTACTAGTTACTCAGTAAACTGCAATTTGGGGTTTACTTTGGTTGTTTAATACTTAATCATGTGAATCCCAAAATCTAGAACTGAATCATACAGGTTTGGAGCTGGATAGATTTGTGGACAGAGAGGCCCACACTGAACCCAAACTCCTCAAAAGCAAAGACATGTTTTTGTTTTTTGATGCTCTTCTCTGTTTTGAAGAAAAGCACAAGCTCTTTACACCCAGATATTTGGGAAACATGCACAAGTACTATTTCCCACTTCAAAACCACATTTGTAGTCACTGCACAGTAGAACTCCAGAACTATCAGGTGTGTCAAAGATTCTCAACACAGCAATGAGTTACAAGCTAATAAATATTCATCAGATGACTTTTGGAAAAAAACATTCTAAACTGGTGTGAATTGAAAATCAACACTGAATAGCAATTTAAAACTGCTTTGTTTGTTTTCGTGTAACAAATGAGAAATCATGAGAATTTTTCTCCTTGCCAGAAATAGATCCTTTTTTGTTTACTACAGGGTTTGGGGATTGAGTGATTGATTGATTGATTAATTAATTGATTGATTGATTCATTCATTCATTCATTCATTCGTTTGTTTGTTTGTTCGTTCATTTGTTTGTTCATTTGTTCATTCCTTCATTCCTTCATTTGCTCACTCACTGGCATTATTGGAAATGAGAATTATCGGAAAATGCAATAAACGTTGGCTTCTTGCATTTAAAAAGTGGTTCTAGTTTCACTCTGAAACTGGAGCCAAGAATTCTTGCAGATTTTAGAGTATTCTCAACAGGCTGTCTTCCCACATCCAGACAATCTATATTAAAGACAAAGGGGGCACTGCCAAGATTTCTTCACAACCCTAGCATTCAGCCCTTCACAAAACAGATTTCTATAAATCTGGATGTGTGCATTCACATAAAACGCTTTGAAAAATAATGCATCTGATAACTGTATTTACAGGTACACAGAAAGTGGTCTTACACTAGGTCAAACCATTTGTTCATCTAATCTCGCAGTGCCTGACTCTGTCTAGCAGCAGTTCTCAGGTAGAGCTGTTCCCCACCAACACTCTTTGACGGACAAAGCAGTTGCTCTACCGTTCAACTTGAGTTGATTTGTGTCCCAGATCATCCTGGCCAGGGTGTTCTGGAAGCAATAGTCCAAAAAGGCAAACTTTCCCATCCCTGGCCTATGCTTACTTTCTACTACTTGCAGAAAGTAAGGTGCCATTAGGCCAAGAATGCCAAATGCCAATGCCTCCTCCAAGATAAAAAGTATTGTTGGAAACGAGATTCAGTTTAGCATTTAGAAAGATATATATACCACTAAAAACCACTAGAACGTGTTCTGCAAATCATTTGTGTCCCTGGGATAATCTAAGTGAAGTTCTAATGGTGTCAAGGCACAAGCGAACGTGTGTTCATAAATAATTTTTGTTTACAATGGCTGCCTTACAAATGAGAAGAAGAGTGATCTCTATAAAATACGGTTTACCCATCATCCCCTCTTAGTACTGACCTCCAGCCACATCCTGGCCAAGTACATGCAAAAGGTTTTTCTCCCGTGTGCCTTCGCAGGTGAGCTTTCAAATGGCTGCTCTTGGTGTACATCTTGGTACATCCAGGAAAGGAACATTTGTGCATTTTAATGAGTTCTGCTGCAGGGTTCTTCTGGAACTTTTGACCCACGAGGACCCCCGTTTGACCCTGGATTGTACCACCTGGCCCGAGAGGTTTTGCAGCTATTGGCACTGGGGCTATGCGGACAAATTTGGAAGATGAGTTCAAACTGGATGACTGGACAAGGTGCGGCACAAGCGCAAAGGTTTGTCCTTGGATGTTGACCAGGAGCTGTGCAATTTTAACATTCTCTTGTGGTTGCCCTTGTGAACTAGGGCTTGTGTTTGACGCTTGCTTAACTTGGACAGGCTGGATTTGGAGCATGACTGGTATCCCTCCATCAAGGGGCACTGTTCCATTCGATGCATGGCTACCTTCTACTGCGTTGCTTGACTGTTCACTTTTACTGTCTTTTAAACTAAGACTGGGCATGAGGTGGTCTTTTTGCTGTATAGAAGCCACAGTAAGCTGGCTACAAGCTCTCATGTCTTTGGTCTCACTTTTAGGCCCTTCCTTGAGTTCGGTCTCCATGTTCTCTTCCAGAAATTCCTCTATCTCCTCAAGGGTGGGCTGGAATGGTCCAGAGTCTTCCATCTCCACCATGAACTCAGGCATCCGAAAATGTTCCTCCTTCACAATGGGCTGAAGTCTCCTTTTGTCCCACCAAGAGGCAAGGCCGTTTCCTAACGATGCCTGGGACAGCAAATAGTCCAAGATACTGTCCTGACTCTCCGCACTCGATGAGCTCCCATAACTTGAGCCAAGAACTTGGGAATCGGGGCTGGAACATGAGCAAAAACTTGAGGAATCGCTATCATCTTCAGACAAGGGAGAAGGCAACATTTGGTACGACCTCCGCATGGGCATCATGTCCCCGAAGTATCCAATCGAGGGCCTTGCGGATGAGAAAGCTTCATCCGCAGGAAGCAAGTGATCCACCATTCCTGGATAACCTCTTTATGCGTCTCCCACCAGCATGTACCAACAGATCAGGAGCCTGAATAGGAGAAACACAAACAGTGACAATCAGAAGTCAGGTTTAATCATGCATCTCGGCACTCAAAAACTACAAAGCTTTCCGCAACTCGGCTTAAAAGTCCTCGCTGATGGCACATGTTGCTACATGTTTTGATATTGCTTGTCTCACCCAAGAGGATTTCTTGAGTGCTTGAAAGCCTTTTCCCAAGATTGCACCACATGCTTGCAAAAGAATTCTTTCCAAAAAATAAAATAAAATAAAGAGCAACTCTGCATCCTTTAGATCTCTAACAGCCCTTTGCCAAAACAAATTCTGTTGAGAGGAGAGAAGGGCTATTCGGCATCGTTCTGCTTAACTGAAGCTAAAGGATAAGGAGTAGGAAAGCAACTGAAACTTTTACCATCTCCTAATCTCCGTATCAAATAGAGTGTTTATTGCTGGGCTGTAGCTTTCCACTGACTTTATTTTTAACTTGCTCACATACATAAATATAGGCTAATCAGGGTGTAATGCAAAGCTCACTATAGTACGAGCTAAAAATATTGGCTTTGCTTCAACAGCAAGTACACTAGGAGGATTTTCCTTTCCAGATTAATGAATCCAGTTTCTAGCACCATGATCCTTTGCACGGCCCTTTTTGCAACCTTGCATTAAAGTGGACTAAATAACCACTCTACCTTGGCAAAGAGATTTCTCTTCTTTTCAGGGCTGCCCTCCCTATTTTTTTTTTAAAGGCCCTATCTGATTTTGGCTCTGGTTTTTAATTCCTGTGGTCCACAGTAAAGGTACAATGACTTTATTCTCCTGCCTCTCATTTGGAGACACTGCCTTGGGATCTAAATCCCATGGCAGCATCTAAATACAAAAACTTGTTAGACTTAGCCTCTCATTTCGATGTGGGATTTCAAATCATTGAGACCAACCCCTTTGAGCCGTAGCTTCAGACATGCTTCAACTTACTCAGCTTCAGACTTGTCAAGAAAAGAAGACACAGATCTCCCTACTCAACTCAAATGGGTACCAGAGGCAAAAACGACAGCTGCAAAACTGTACTTGAAGTTATCAAAGGAGGATGGCGTCTCAGACCAACATCACTTTATTATTTATTTATTTATTTATTTATTTATTTATTTATTTATTTATTTATTTATTAAATTTATACCCCGCCCCTCTAGACCATGTCTACTCGGGGCGGCTTACAACATAAAATAAATCAATATTAAAAATATATAAATACAATTGCAATATTAAGACAATTAATTTAAGAAACCATTACATGGTTTGTTGCAGTTAAGGTGACCATGAGTAAAGTTTGGGTGAAAAGAATAGTTTTTGGAACTAGAACTTCCAGAATCATACAGTATAACTACTGCCAGAAGGATTTTGGGTATTGTGGTCCCAAAATGTAGCATTCCCAACTTCTGTCAAAAACATAATACTTTTGGTAGGGAAGCTATTGGGATGGTAGAGGCTAGTTGTATAATCGGGCTTTCAAAAAAGAAAGAAGAGCTTGGAAATGTTCCTTTTTTTCTTCTGTGACTCCCAGAATCCTCCAACTTGGGAGTTGTCATGGGAGTTGTCATCCAAAAATGGAACATCTCCAAGATTTGCAAGAAAGAGGGAGAACATGTGTGGTTTGTACGAGACAGCGCTCTGACACCTTTCCCACAGCATCATTTTTAACATGCTCGTTTGCACTGGCTGCAGCAGCCACTTTACCCTGAGAAGTGGTCACTGTCTCAAGGGAGGGGTGAAAGATGCTTATGGGAATCTTCTATAATCCACACTGCTTGTTCTGCATACTTCATGGCCCCATGTTTGTTTTGCTCCACTTAAGGAAATAAAATCCCATGTCTGTGAGCTGTGGCTGATTTAGCAAGAAATGTTTTGCACAATGTCACTCACATGCTCTGTCAGCCTGAGTCCATTAACATTCCACAGGAAACTCAGAGCAATAAAAGTGTATTTCTTCAGTCCAGAGAGGGTTTCTTGACTGATGCAAGGTAAGGTGGGGGTACGTGGCTAACTCAATCTAAAGAAAGGCCACTTGTTGGCCTGCCAAGCTGCACGCTTTCCTAGTTGCGCATGAATGCCAGTCCTTTCTTCCTGTCAACTGACAACACTTAGGAAATGGTCAAATGGATTAAATGGGAGGAAGTTCAAGCAAAGGTTAGAGGCCATGTTGTGGGCCCATAGCCTGCAATCATTCTGAGCTGTAAAAATGATTTTTCACATACCTTCATTCATACACCAAAAGACAGCATTTGCTCAATGCCTATTTCCTTGGCTCTGTGAGCTTTACAGCACCACACTATACATGTCTCTACCTTTCCATATTATGGTGCATAGAATTACAGGATTTCTTCAGGATAATTTTTGGATTAATCAACTTGAAAGAAGAGTTGATTAACTGACAGACAAAATGTACTGTCAGCTCAGCTGAAGATTAGGAACATATTTTCCTTACTTGTTCAGACAATGTTGTACTAGTGTTATTGTATTAGTGTACAGGCAATGAAAACCAAAATATGAAACATGATTTTCACAATAATGAATGTTTATTGAATTATCACGCATTTCTTTCAATATCTAAAAATGCATCAATATGTAAGTTTTGTAATATACCAATGAATTTAATCAGTTGTTTGGTAATCAAACAACTATAGAGGATTTCTCAGTTAAAAAAACTTTATTAATAAATTTATTCCAGCTTTTTCCCCCTATGCAAAAGAGAATACAAACTTAATAAAACAATAAAGGTAAAGGTAAAGATTCCCCTTGACAATTTTTGTCCAGTCGTGTCCGACTCTAGGGAGCGGCGCTCATCCCGCTCTTCAGGCCACAGAGCTAGCGTTTTGCCCGAAGACAATCTTTCCATGGTCACATGGCCAGTGCGACTTAGACACAGAATGCTGTTACCTTCCCACTGAGATGGTCCCTATTGATCTACTTGCATTTGCATGCTTTTGAACCGCTAGGTTGGCAGGAGCTGGGACAAGCGACGGGCGCTCACTCCGTCGCGTGGATTCGATCTTACGACTGCTTGGTCTTCTGACCCTGCAGCACAGGCTTCTGCGGTTTAGCCCACAGCGCCACCACGTCTGTATGAATACTTTATATACAGGCATCTGACATCTTCTTGCATGCTTAATTAAGAAACCAAACCAGATAAGCCAATAGTTGCTCCAACTGACAGAGCTGAAATACAGTCTCATTTGCAAAGTTTCCAAACTAGCTTGTAGGACAGATATATAAGATTTGGCAGTTTTGATGTCGTTAAAAAGACAGTGATTTCTCCACAAGAGTTTTCTGGGGGAGAGGCAGACAAATGTGGTCAAGAAGGACTGAAATAGTTGCAATACTTCTTTTCACATCAAACCTAAACTTATTTTATGCGGTGTCGCTGTTGTGCTGTGGTGCCAAGTCAGAACCGACTTATAGTGACCCTAGCAGGGCTTTCAAGATACCTGAGATATATAAAGAGTAGTTTTGTCAGTTTCACTCCCCTGGTCAGTTTCCATGGCTGAGCAGGAGTTCGAATCTTGGTCTCCAGAGCCCTAGCCCATCACTCTACCACACATACTTTTTTCTGCTTTGGCATTGCAAATTGCTTCATTTGTGTCTTAAAGTAGCACCTAAAGTTGTACTGTTCCCTATTTGCGGAGTTTAAAAAGGCAAAAGCTTTACACAGGCAACACTGTGAACATGTCCTATACAGTGTGAAAGAGGCAGCCATAAAGTGCCCCAATGCTTTGCTTTGCAATCAAGGAGGAAGAAAATCCTCTTCTCTCGTATGCTTCTCTCAGGAAGGCAGCAGCACCCACGGGGTGGAGATACACATAGCCTCGATTCCTGTGTTGGATTTGTGTCTGCAACAGGCACAGGTGTTGTTTGTCCTGTAGTGCAGTGGTCCCCAACCTTGGGCCTCCAGATGTTCTTGCACTACAACTCCCAGAAGCCTTCACCACCACCTCTACTGGCCAGGATTTCTGGGAGTTGAAGTCCAAGAACATCTGGAGGCCCAAGGTTGGGGACCACTGCTGTAGATGGTTCTCCTTGCATACCCTCATGCTTCCTAACATTCTGAGTGAATGAAATTTTGTCATTAAAATGATTTCATGCATTCGATGAAAGAACATGATGACCTGGAGGCTTTTCCCAGGTTCTGCAAAGTTTCCAAATTTTTCTGGATTTCTTTTTTCTGAGCCTCCACATACCTAGTCAGGACCCAGGGGCTAGGGGTTGGGGAAGACATGCTGTCCGGATCTTACTTACAGGGGACTCATCTTCCCCATGCTCTGACATGTCTACGTGAAACTCCCAAGGGAAATTAGGGGTGAGGTATCATTAGTATACAGAGAGCACGCAGATATGTTTCATTCTCCCCCCCCAACACCAAAGCCAGGTGTGTTGATGGAAGCCTGGAGCAGATGGTCTGAGGTTAGGTTAGTGATAGGCAAGGTAAAGGTGGAGAAAGTAAAACTCAGTGCAGATGTTAATGCTGAGGGATTTGATTGATCTCAGCACTGGCAGTTCCCTTGGGGTGGTGAGGATGCATTCCCCCTCAGGGACCAGGTGAACAGCCTGGAGCTGCTATTATTCCTTGAATCCCAAATAGGGGCAGGAAGGATTTTTATCAGAGGTTGGTGCCCCAGCTGTAGCTACTCCTACAAAAACAGCCATCTGCCCACAACAGTGATCAGGAACTCAGTGACCTGCAGCCCAGTCTACAGCGATACACTCTCTGTAGGGCTTCCTTTAAAAACTGAAAACTACAGTGACATCAAACGGTGGTAGCCTGCACATTATAGGAGATCGACACTAGCTCCATGTTAACACCCAGGGACGCAATGGCATTCAGCTCTTAGCAGCATCTACACTAGTGTCTGTTTTCACATCATATAATGCCACTGTAAATGAACTGTGCCAGGGTATATGAGGGTAACACCAGGCAGAAGGTAGATAAATATCTACTGACAAGCTCCTGAATGATTTGCAGTTAGATCACGAAGTGTCTT